ATCATATTAACTGTAACACGACCAGAAGCCTCTGTCGGCCCCTGCTAACCAGGAGAGTGACAAGTTATTGGTTTTTGGTTTGTGCTGTCATGAACAGACGGCCGTGTTCCCTATTCTGTGAAACATTGTTTACTCATTCCTCATTCGTTGCAACCCAATAAATTCTCACATCACAAAATCCGAGTGGAGGTCAATAAACTCTAATAACAGATAATCAACGCGCCCATCCCTGCTCGATTGGAGCCAGTGGAATGAATCTGTACGTCCATATTTCACTGTATCATGGCAACCAGAACGAGATTTTCTTTTCTACTGTTTTGAAGGGAGTTGACTCAAGGTGGCTGACACAGACAAACTGATGGGGAAGTTGCATCAGTGTTGTACTGCAATATGAAGGGAGAGAAGAAACCAAGTGCTCTGCTGCACCTCAACCATATAACATTTTCTTTCTCTCTAAATTATGATTAATGTATGGTTGGTACATTAAATATGCATTTGATACACACCTGTGTTGTGTTGCTACTACACGTCACTTTGCCACAACGAAATACCACACTCTCTTTTTTTAGATTTTGCAGAATTCCCCTCAATGACTGCACAGCACTGCAACAACACTTTGACACGTTGCAGAAAAATGTTTTAGTGCTTATCTTCACAGTTGTTCGTGTGGTTTTGGGCAATGAATTCCACAGACCACATGTATGAGTTTGACTCCATGAGATGAAATGAAAAAGAGTTTCGAGTTTTTATCTCATAGAATAATTTAATTGTACGGAAACATGTCAAGTATATATCTGACTGTCAGATTGATGGCCAACTGGGCAGCCCGCAAATATCTCCAACTGTGTCAGTGTGTCACTATACAAAAGGCAGAGATACTAAGTACCAAGTCACAAACTCTAATGAACATGTTTCAGGATGGAAAATACTTCAGTCTTAAAATGTGTGATATCCTCCACCACGTATGACACTGCCATAAATGGCATACATACAAACACATCAATATCATAGAAGGGTTGGTGTCACAGGAAGAACTGTAGATGATCTCTTTTCCTGTCACTTCCTGACCGATAAGGAGGATACATGCGTGTGTGTGTGTGTGTGTGCGTGTGCGTGTGTGTGAGTTACTGTGTGTGAGTGACTGTGTGTGTGTCAGAGAGAGAGAGACAGAAAGAAAAAAAAAGAGTGAGAATCATGTTCAGTAGAAGTGAGTTAAATTAAACCACTCAAAACTCCCCTTGAGTACAGAATTCACCAAAGAGCATCATCTTGAACAAAACATACAAAAACAAGTACATTTTTAGCAAATCACATAACTATCATTTGACTCATGTGCTGGTCATTTGGTTCCCCGGCTGAAAAGCTGCAGCACTTTCACAAATCTGCATGATACCTTCTAAATAAAAAACATGACTAAAAATACTTCTTAACCTTACACCATGAATTCAGAGAGACATGTCACTTACCCAGTCACTCCAAAAAAGAATAAAGTCAAGCAGCAGAAAGACTACAGATGCTGAGGCTCGTACCGATGGCAGAAACCTTCACCTCTGTCCGCTCCCCTCCCATCAAATGTGTTTGTATGTGATGCAAGTCGCACACAGAGAGGAATCGACTCTGCTTACTTCCCCTTTTTCTTCCTGCTCATTCTCATATCAGCCCTCTGGACAGTTGTGGTGATAAGTAGCAGGGCACTGCAATTTCCCTGAGGAGATCCATCTGGCAAACTTTTCATTTGTATTTACTCATTTACTTGTTACTCAGCTGTGATCTGACTATTTTACAAGTTTTATAATGTTTTATGTCATTTAGTTTTTCTCATAATTATGTAACATTTGTATTCTTATATTTGTATTTTAATGCTTTATGATCTTCAAATTGCTTTTGATTCTCTCATGTAGCTTGTTTTTAATTATTCTTCTTAAACAGTAAAGCATGTTGTAACTCTGTTTTGAGAGGTGCTATACAAATTAAAGTTGTTCATAAAGACATTATTTTCTGAAAATTTCTTCTTCCTCTTCTTCTTTTAATTCTTTCCCAGTGTCCCTGTAATTTTAAATTTTTTAACTTGTTAAGCAGCTTGTAACTGTGTTTTTAAAGGTGCTATGTACATAAAGTTTATTATAATTATTAGCAGTAGCCGTATTATGTCTACCGCATGTTAGACTTTTGCAAGAAAATATAAGATGAAGACAAGATATGATAAAAAAAAAAACTGTATTGATCCACACACCAGGGAAAGTTGTTAAAGCAGCGGGCAGGTCACAATGAGGTAGACAAGAGAATACAAATATTAAAAAAAGGCAATACAAAAAAAAACAATAAAGTATACATATGTAGATTATATACACCTTTCAGTGTAGTGGTTTGTATACAAATATAATAAAGTCATGTGATAAACATGTGTCCAAGTAATAATTTCACATTAAATTCAAACTCTTTCTTTTTCTCCCGTTTGTGGTTCAAGTGACCGTCTGGTGTTTATTGCCGCTAGGGGGCAGACTGCAGAAGTACCGCCGGTTCCCAGCTGGGGTCTACATAACGAGTGCTTCCGGCTTCCCTCGTCCTCTTTTCCTCTGCACTGGGTCGCAGCCATGGTGAGAATCTCCGCCATGAATCCACTTTAACGAATCTAACTCAATCCTCCAGGTTTAAAGCGCGTGTTCACTCGTGGTTCCCTCTGACATGTGAGGGACACGGTGGTGCGCGTCACTGTGCTGATATCGTTCACCTGGAGCTCGTGTAACGTTGTTAGTTTGTCTGTGAGCGATGTGTGATGTGTCGGTGCTGCTCGAGCCTCCGCACGAACCGACCTGTCTGTTAAATGACAATAAAAAAAGATTATTGTTCAAGTAGCAACACTGGCGAACTATTTTAACTAATGTCAGGGACACGTGTTAACTAATATCCTGTTTATTAACCGTAAATATCGGCACTGTTAGCCTGCTAGCTTACGGCACTGTTAGCCCGCTAGCTAATGTCAGCTGCCATGTCCACTTACCGGGGGAGAAAAGAGGAAGATGAACCTTATCGACGTTAACAATCATTTTAATATTTATATTCAAATAACAAAATGGCTGCTACATTTCCGATCTATGACTTAGCTCATTTAACTCGCTTCGTTAGCCGGTAGCTAGCAGCCACGCACGAGGCTAATGGTTTGTTTTTTCCTCATTCGTTCGCTGGTTGGACTCGACACGTGTGATCAGACTGGTAAAGTTTATCGTCTCTCTGTAGGTCAACGTCCCGAAGACCAGGAGGACCTACTGCAAGAAGTGCAAGAAGCACCAGCCCCACAAAGTTACCCAGTACAAGAAGGGGAAGGATTCCCTCTATGCACAGGGTAAACATGCTGACGATGATGGCTCCACTGTCTGTGTGGTAAACTCTGTGTAGTGAGATGTAGCTGATCTTTAAATGTTTTTGCAGGTAAGAGGAGATACGACAGAAAGCAGAGTGGTTACGGTGGTCAGACCAAGCCTATTTTCCGCAAGAAGGCAAGTGTGATCTTATTTCTGTGTGTGTCTGATGTTGTTGCAGAGGTGGGGATGTTAATCTATAGTTTGTCTGTACAGGCTAAGACTACAAAGAAGATTGTGTTGAGGCTGGAGTGTGTGGAGCCCAACTGCAGATCCAAGAGAATGCTGGCCATCAAGAGATGCAAGCACTTCGAGTTGGGAGGTGACAAGAAGAGAAAGGTAAGCGTTTGTCTTTGTGAATTGTTTCATTGTGGTGCAGGATAATTATGATGTGCAGTGGATTTTGAAGTCGTCAGATCTACACGAATGCTGTGACTCAATATATAAATCCGCTACATGTGGATCCACAGTCAGCTCACCACTTAATGGTGAATCAGCTCATGTTTAAAAAAACAAACTGATAAAACTACATCTGGATAGTTTTTTAGTGAAAGTTTACCATTTGAGATGTGGATGTCCTGCTGTGATAATGTTTGATAAGTTCAAATTAAAAGCTCACCTTCCCTAAATTTGCATTTGACATCTCACATTGACTCAATGTGAAAGCAGCTACACGTTAGAGCTGTGTAACACTAGTATTTAAAGTGAGCAGACACACCTACATGGTTTAAGCTTCACTGCTTTCCTGCCATAGTATTTTTACGTTTGTATTTGTCTTTATTCAGCACTAATGTGCATGTTAACCAGTAAGTGCACCCTTTTTGAACACACGACTGAACCCAAATCAGTAGTGAAGCAGTAGGAACTACATATAAAAGTCAGGACTCAGGGCTTCCCAAGTTGTTCTCAAACTAATGTTGAGAGGCAGGTTGAACTGAAAGAACATTTAAACATTAGAATCAGGAACGGTTTTATGCCTGATGGTAAATTTGACCTCAGTTTTTACAAGAGCACATTTCATTGCAGATGATTTGAGTGGAGTGTTTGTGGGTGAATTTCATTAGTAAACTGGAAGTGATTTGCAGGACAGTTGAAAAACAAGCTGTCTATAGCTCAGTCCTTTGACAAGAACTCAAGAGTCACTGTATTGATCCAGTTGCCCAAACTAAATATGTGGAAGATATAAAAATGTAATTTTAAATTGTAACAATGCCACTTAAACCTAAACACAGCACTTTAAACTGAAAGTATGAACTTTCAAATAGGTTTGATAAAGTTCTTCTTAAAATAATACAAGCTATGAGAGTCTTGTGGATCCACTTGACAGTTGAATGAATTATAAAGAAATTAATTTATGTATCAGGACTCAATGTTTGGATGAGTAAACTCGTACAGATGTCAAACATGATGGGGCACTCATTTTCATGTATATTCCAACAGATGTTTTGTTTGAATTGACTGCAGCAGTCTTATTGAGCCACACACGACTCACACCTGCTACCACAAGTTGTGTAACTGCTCTTAACAAAGTCTTCTTGTCTTCCCCTTACAGGGCCAGGTCATCCAGTTCTAAGCTGTGGTCCAGTCTTCTGGAGGAAGTTGTCACAATTTTCATTAAATGTAGTAAAAACAAACATTGAGTTGTTTTTCCCTTTTATTTTCACAAAGCATGCAAATGTACAAAATTCAGGTATTCTTTAAAAAGGTTCAGTCTGTAGGATTTAATAGCTTCAAGCTGAAGTTTCATCTTGCAAATAAGTACCTCTCCTTTTTTCATGTGTGTCAGAACCTACACTTCAGGTAACGTCAACTAAAAAAAACCCTTTCTGGAGCCAGTGTAGGTTTGTCCATTCTGGGCTATTGAATACACATCAGTGCAACATGGCAGACGTATATAGGACCTATTCTTGATTTAAGCAAGTCTCAATCTAGGATCATGTTTCTTATTCCCGGGTGATAAAACAAAAACTGAATACTTGTGCAGTTGTATTCTACAAACTGGACCTTTTGAGATGATTTAATCTTAACAGCATATTGTAGACAATTCACACATCAAGTGTACAAAAACATTCCAGTGATTTACTCATAAAGCAGCCAGTATACTGTAGTTCATCCCAGTGTCAGACTCATTCAAACAAACTCAAATGAAACTAGATTTCCCATTTGCTTTGTACAAAACCAATGATTTTAAAACTTTAATTAATCAATGCAGTGCTGGTAGATTAAAGTGTTAAACCCCCTGAGGACTACAAAATGGTTTCCTGCTTGTGTCTGACACTCGTGTCCTGCCAGTGCAGCTTGTATGTCCTAAACCTGCTGATGGGAGTGATGGTGAGAAGAGCGGTGCCTGAAGGGTTCACTGATAAAACCACTTCACTCTTAAAAGTCTGGACACCCAGCTCCTTGTACTGGGGCAGGATCTGTGTGACGTTACACTGAGGGTCACAGATCTTCCAGCCAGGAACCGCTCTGATGACAAACCCCCGGGGACCACCAATCTCCTGTCTGTTCAGAACAGCGACAGCCAGACGGTTCTGAGACAGAGGCCTCTCCCACACCTCGAAACTGTCCACCTGTAGAATAATTAGGGTTCATTAATGATATAGCATCTATCATTTCTTAAATGGGCATTCCAGGATGTGACCCTGCTTCATGTCACATGCTCACCTTGATGGTGCGGTATCCCTGCCTGCCCAGCGGGTCCTGGCTGATGTCTATGATTCGTTTGTTCTGTAGCAGCCCCTTGGAGCGAGGACAGATGTCCCTCAGGTCGTTAGACATGAGCAGAGGAGCCGCCATTATGGCCCACAATGCCATCTGAGACTCCTGCTGGTCGTGACTCAGGCCAAAGTTCCCAATGACCAGCTAGAGAAATGAACCAGTGTCAACCAGGCTTAGTGAGATGCAGCACATCAATAACATACTGTTGAGATTTCTAACAAACCTGTAGTTCACTAACAAGTTCAGTTGAGTCCTGTTTCAAATTAAGCTCTACAGCCTATAAATGAAAACCATGCAAAGAAGAAATACTTTTTTTGGGTAGTAAATTACTTGATTCAAACTGCTGGCAACTCTAAAACAAAGTAATTCATCCTTTATATTAATTCTTTATAATAAATATCCCAGCCATGGAGCTGCATTTGTCTGCTCATTAGCTGGATTAGGCAAAAACATCAGCACGCGTTACCATGTTTAGGAGACTGATCCCAAATAAAAGTCCACACAAAGTAAATTTTAATGTGGCTTCATGAGGAGACTGTTTTGGTGGAAGTATGTGCTTGAGTGCCCTTCTAGTAATACTGGACACACAGTGATAGTGATGCTAAGTCTATTTCTCATAATGCCAGACAGTTGAGGAACAAATCAGCTTTCCTTTGTCTACAACAATTGTTAAGACTGGTAATAAAATGGTTGGGTACTTGAAGAGTGGTTCTATTTTCAGTTTGAGGTCAGACTGGAGTGTAGAAGAGCTCGAGCGGAGCACAGTACCATATCAGGGTCATTCCAGCCCCCAGATCCAGCCGAGGGAACAATGACGTCTTGATGAGAAGCAGTCCAGTCCAAGATGGTTTTGATCGAGCTCCACGAGTCGTACACGTCATTGAAGTTGCGCCAGTGGTTACATGTCTCACGGATGGCTGTGTAGTTCGGCTGGAGGCACAGAGATGCTCTTTTATGTCGCGTAACATGAGACATATGGTCTCATCACAGATAAATGTTCTTTAATTTAATTTCAATGTTATATAGAATCGTGTGAAATTGCTGAAATTTAATGTGATATCAAGACGAGTTCTCTCACCTGTTTGAAAGGCCATTCGTATAAAGGCCACTCGCAGGAGTACAGGATACTTCTTCCAGTTTGGTTCAGTGCTTTTGACATGTTTCTGTAGCCTTAGCCAGGGTGAAGAACAACAGGTTAAACCACATGCAAAGACAGAATATTCAAATAATGAACCCAGAACTGAAGGAGCTAAGACGTCACTTATAAATTCTGTTGTGAAAGTTTCCTGAGTTTATCTACATAAACTGTAAAATACAGTTTAGATTTTTATCCATCACACAATATCATCAGGGAACCGTCTGATTGGTCCCAAATTAATCCTGCAACAACCCCAAACATACTGCCAGGGTTATACAGAACAAGGAGTCCTACAGCAGATGGTGTGGCCCCTACAGAGCCCTGATGTCAACATCATGAAAAACACAGAGAGAACCGAGCGAACCTCTCCAAGATGCTTGGAACAAGATATTTGCCAAGTGCCATAAAACTGTATGTTAGTGTATGAAGGAGAACTGATGAAGACAAATGGACACACAAGCTGATGAAGCTCCACCACTTGTTTGTCCAAATCAACAGCTCACCTTCTCCCAGCAGGGTCCAGTCCATGTAGCAGCCATCAAATTTGAGCAGGTCCACATTCCAGTCGGCAAAAGTCTGAGCGTCTGTCTCGTAGTGGCCCAGACTGCCGGGGTATCCAGCACAGGTGTTTTTCCCAACATCTGCATAGATACCCAGCTTCAGACCCTTAGAATGGATCTTAAAACAGAAACATACAAGCAGAATTATTCTGTTAAGTTTACAATATTCATGTCTTTGACAGGTTATGGGTTTGTGCCAGGAGGTGGCGATGTTGCACAGCTAAGAACTTGATGCTCTGCCTTGTTGGAGCTAAATATATCTCTTTCCTGGAGAATATAACTTTTCAGCTGCCGGTGTCACGGTGGCCCACAGTGCAGGGAACTCATCTGTGTTGTGACTGTGAAGCAGAGCGAACGACAGCACACGCCTACCTGAGACAATTTAATGCTTAGGTATCTCACTTCAATTTCTATCTGTATGAAATCTGAGACCTGGTTTCTACATCAGCATCTTCCCCCTTCATTATGTCAATAATTGCAGGTCGCCTTGAATTGATATATATATAAATAATCTGTTGTCTGAACATGTCATCACTTTTTCTTCTGTAGTTACTGAATCAGATCTTCTCAAAAACGTAGATGCATTGCACCACTGATTCTGTTACACTGCAGCTCACCCCTCTTACAATCTGTGTTTAATATGACATGGTTTGCTATTATATAACCGTGTATACTGTTCTTAATGCAGCCCAAATACTGGAAACTAGAACAAAACAGTCACAGCACAGCACATGCACCTTCCAGCTGCAGCTTCCTAACTCTCCTTCATGTCTATAGAGGATTTATGGCACTGATGCTACATTCAGAGTTTTTGTACCCATTACTACTCACGTAGTCGGCCAGTTTCTTGATGCCCCCGGGGAATCTTTTGGGGTCTGCCTGCAGGCGGCCCCGGGCATCTCGCTGATGGGAGGGCCAGCAGTCATCGATGCAGACGTACTCGTAGCCGGCCTCTTTCCAGCCCTCCTTCACCATCATGTCTGCCATCTGCATGTACAGACGCTCACTGCCAGGGCAACAAGAGGAGACAGGCAGGGCTGATAGTATCTCTTAAGATGCCAGCGTTCAATGTCATGTTCAACAGCAATATGGCAGACAACAAATATGTACATGCGGAAGGAATTCTCGCTACAGTGAACGCCAGTTTTGCTGTTGTTCATGGTTGAGTAATAACAATGAGTAATATAAGAAAACAATTCCACCAGTGAGCTCATATTGGTGCTGCACAGGGTTTTTGCAGGTTTCTACTGGTTCAATACAAGAGTTTTCTCTTGTCTCTTAAAACAATGGAGCTCTCATTAGAATAATCTTAACACAATTAAGGCCTACCTACTAATATTTAAGACCTAGTACATAATAATTTAATCTATTTTAGAGACTTTCCTGTTGTGTTTCCTCTCACCATCATGTCAGTCTGTACCCGAGTCTCCTGCAGCCTCTCACCATCATGTCAGTCTGTACCTGAGTCTCCTGCAGCCTCTCACCTGATGTCAGTCTGTAC